TGCCCCGGCCCCCCTGCCCACCAGCCCCTAGGTGTTGCTGTACTTTCCTTTCTTGTTGTAGACTCTAAGGGTTACCCCCACCCCCACCCCCGCTTAGTCCTTGACTCCCTCCGCTCTAGTTACACCTGCCCCACCTGAAATCCAGCCACAGTTCCAGGCTACAGAGCCCTGCCTGGGCTGGAGACCGGCCTGGATCGGGCTCCTGCTGGGAGGACTTTGGAGGGAGTGGCTGTCCTGGGTTGGTGGTGGTGAGGTCTCTGGTGAGACAGAGAGAACGAGAGTCAGTGAATGAGTAAGTATATGTGTATGCGCCGTAACTGGATTCCACCTTGCTTTTCAGCCCCGGGTCCATGACTTTGGAACCTTGACTTTGTCTTGGGGGAAGCTCCAGGCCACCTGGACCTTCTAATCCTGCTAGTCCCTCCTTTTCCCATCCAGAGGTACAGCATTTCAGAGAGGCTGCCCCACCCCTGCCTTGAGCCAGTGGGTACCGTCCATCAGGGCTTTTGCCTTTGGTGTATGCCTTTGGCCTTAACCGCATCCCCTTTGCTGGCTGGAGGACCCGTGTTTATGGATCTAGGTGTCGTCTTGGAATAGCGAAAGGGCTGAGGAGCTCTGGCCCTGGGAACGTGATCATGGGGAACCTTAGAAACCGGGAGTGTGCTCTAGAGGGTATGTGACTGGGTGTCAGGGGGATACTTCAAGGGCAGGAAGCAGCCCATGCCCCCTCCCCTGAGATGTGGGCTATAAAGAGTACAGCGAACTCAGATGGGACAGGGCCTATTTTAGAAATCCGCTTCCTTGAGCTGTTAGAGCTGTGGCAGGCTTGTGTAGGTGGAAGGTGTGAAGAGGAATTCAGTTTGTCGCATTCGTAATTTGTTTTTTAGAAGATCGTCTGGGGTCGGGTCCGCTCCCTTGTGCATTTGTGGCTGTGGACTGTACCCAGCTCCCTGGGGAGAAAATCTTAATAGCTGGATATTTGGCATGAGGTACTTAGCATGGACAAGTCCGCTGGAGGTAGGGCTGTCTCTCAGGGGTCCCTTCCAGGTGACTCATCTGTCCCTCTGAGAAGCTCCACAGGGTGGACTTTTCATTGGTAGGGATTGAGGGAACTACACCCAAGACTTGCCTCAGGTTCCCTCCAAAAACAAACTCGCTGCCATGGGGTGGATGCTTGTTGGTCTCATGGTGAGCCCCTGTGAGTTTCTAAGACTGGAACTGTTTACAGGAGTAGAAAGTCCAGTCTTTGTCCCAAGGAACAGATGGTGGTTTTGAACAGCTGACCATGCATATCACAGGCCAGCACGTAACCACCAACATATACCACCAGGGCTCATTTTAAGGTCCCTAGGTGTATGTATATATATGTTAGCCCCAACACTCCACCCTCCACACAATCACTTCAAGTGCTGGAATTGAGAAATTCCTTGAACATATGTCTTAATGATGATTCAGCCTGCTTAACAGCAGGTGGGGAGGAGGGAGCAAGAAGAGCTATAGCTGAGTCTTAGGCTGGGAATCTCAAGTTTGGTTTTTTGTTTTGTTTTTGAGGGGTGTTTCTAGAATGATCTGTTCTGTCCTTGTTTTTACTGAAAATGGAAGGCGTAGGGTTGCACTGCACCCTATAGGGTCTAGGTCCGGATGCACTTCAGAAACTCTGGCACATGAGCATGGACGGCGTGACTAGCAGTCACTGACTCAGTTAATGAACACTGAAGGACTCCTGTGCTCTCGAGACCCTGGAGAGATGAGGCAGAGGCAACAACGGGCCCTTGCCCTTGAAGAGCTCGCAGCCTAAGTGGGGCCCTTGATGCAGCCCAGTGCTCCAAGTCATGTGGTGATAAGTGCACTGTTCAAGGCAGGTGGAAGGAACTGTGGCAACACCACGGAGGAGCACATCTTGGGATTTTTGAGTAGGGGAGAGCTCCCTCTTCCCCTACTTTAGCCCACTGCAGCCTGGGCGCGAAGGGGAGCATGTGATACTTGCACTCTTTGGGCTTCGGGACAGATAGCTTGACTGCTGAGCAGGCACCCCATGAGCTCATGTCCTCTGCCTGCCTGCATTCCCTCTCAAATCAGATGCTCCTTTTTCACCTCACACACAGGCAAGTGGGACCCACTGCAGAGAACTGGGCCAGAGCAGGCTGGAGGGGTTTGTGAGGAGATGTCTCTAACGTGGCATCCCCCTGGCTGTGTTCGGCCTTCAGAGTCCCATTAACTCTCATGCACTTTGTCAGTGTCTTTTAAAATTTTTTTAACAGAGTGGGGAACTGTTTGTCTTGAGTCTGCTGAGGGTATTCCCCCTCCCCCTCCCGAATTTCTCACAGCTTTAAAAATAGCCCTGCGTTGCTTGCAGGGTTTTGCCTAATATAAAATGGCTGTGGTGAGCACGAGGCTCGGTGGGGGTGGGGGCTCTTTGTGAGGGTTGCTCCCGCTTGCCTGAAAGGTTTCGGCAGATTCTGTCCCATCTGTGGAGCATATGCACAGCTGCTGGTGTGAAGGGAATGCGGCGTGAGCTGCCCAGACACGCGACATGCGCAGCCCTCGCCACCTGTGCTCACGGCCTCTCTCTTCCCAGATCAATGAGCTCAGCCAGGTCCCTCTCCCTGTGATGCTGCTTCCAGACGACTTTAAGGCCAGCTCCAAGATCAAGGTCAACAATCATCTTTTCCACAGGTCAGTGTGGACCTCTGCCCGTCCTCTTTTAGGTCAACTGTCCTAGAAAGCGAGATCTTTGGAAAAGGTACGAGTCAATGGGTTTGAAGGTTCTAGTTTTAGAAGGCAACTTACCAGTTGTGTAGTTGAATCATTTTCCCAATGCAGACACTTTGTGTTGTGTAAAGAAATCATTAGAATAATCTCCAGTGTTCCCTGGACCCTTTTATTTACTCTAGCGTAGCACCTTCCCAGAGTAGATACTCAGATAATATTATCATTAGCTTCTGGTAGGGGCTTCCTGAAAGAAAGATCCCGGTCTTCTGAGCCCTGCTCGTGTTAAAAGATGTCATTGCCAACAGTGGCCGCGATTGCCAGTGCCAGGATGTCTCTCACGTGCTTGAGCTCTGAGCCGTGTTGTTTGGATGAGCAATAGCCCCTGACTGTACTCCCCTCTGCTCACCACTTAGGCGGGTCACTCAACCCCACCAGGTCACAGACTCCTCTTGTGTAAAGCAGGGATCATATACCTTTAATTGACCTCACAAGGTTTTATGGGAGTCAAATACGTGAGGGTACTTTACAAACGGCTGAGTTCTATAGAAGTGTAATCTTGTTACTTGGATCGTGTTCTTACCTTGAATGCTTCTACTGCAGGGAAAGTCTGCCCAGTCATTTCAAGTTCAAGGAGTACTGTCCTCAGGTCTTCAGGAACCTCCGTGACCGGTTTGGCATCGATGACCAGGACTATTTGGTGAGCGTCCGTGACGGGGTGAGAGTGGTTCTTTCTGCCTAGCACCCAGGGGCCCTGGGGACAGTCTTACTTGGAGAAATGGGAGTCTGGCAGGTTGGGTGCTTTCCCTTTTTCCAGCCACAGGCATCTGTGCAAGTAGACTCAGTGTTTGCGGTGAATTTCATTCCGTAAGCACCAGGCTGAGAACCTGCAGCTCAGCCTCTTACGCCAGCCCATCATTCACTCCCAGGCGTAATCAGTTGGCTATCATAATGTGATTTGCATCTCTGTCTAAAGGGGGAGGAGAAGATCCTCTGGCCTCTTCTGTGTCCCCAGGTATCCCTTACCCGGAGCCCCCCAAGTGAAAGTGAAGGCAGTGATGGTCGCTTCCTTATCTCCTATGATCGGACTCTGGTCATCAAAGAAGTGTCCAGTGAGGACATTGCTGACATGCATAGCAACCTCTCCAACTACCACCAGGTCAGACCTCTTCCCATCTTCGTTCTTTCCCTCAGCTCCCTACTCACAGCCGAACTGCTGGAGCGAGCAGAGAGACTTCCCCTGTATTTTCTCCCCTACTGCCCACTTTACGCCCCAAGAAGCACCTGACATCTTGTTTGGTTTGGGTTTTTGTTTTGTAACTTTCCTGTGTGAATTAGGTGGACGTTTACAGAGCAGGGCATTCATTGCTTTTTCATTCAGTAGTTCATACGGATTTGGTTTTAACTCGCCCATCGGAGTCCCCTCAATGTATCCTCACTTATCCCAACGCCTCCAGGTGTTTCCTTTCCTCCTTTCCCGACTGGCTGTCTACATTGTCCTTGGGTAGATGCTGCCCCTTTTGATCTTCAGTGGTTGCGATGAGTTCGATCCAGAGGCATCGGGTGACAGCATGTTTTTGAAAACTAGGGATTGTCCACCCCCCACCCAAAAGACATGTACTTATCTAGTTGTGCTCTTCTAAATAGAATACTTTAGGCATATCTCTTCTCATCTGCTACTTAACACTCTGAAGCCGGTACTATGGGTTGATTTATAAAGAGCTCCTGTTTAGCAGAGTGTAAGTCATAGGCGAAGTCAAAACTGTGTGAAGTGCTAACACCAAATGAGAGTCTCAGGAATGAGCTCAGTGTGGAGGGAAAGTGCACATTGGGATGAACTGGAAGTGAGAAACCATTGTCATGTTTCAGCCCATCCAGTCTGAGCATGTTAACGTGGAATGTGGGGCTTATGGGACTCTCTGATGATAAAAAGTACTCTGCCTGAATGTATTTCTACTGATGAAAAAAATCTCACCAAAGTCCAGAAGCAAGAAACATGAGGACTACATAAAAGATTGTAAAAGAAGTCTTTTATCTAACAAAGAGTGAATGACCCCTATTAGTAGGTCTTGTGGGAAGCAGTAGAGAAAGACGTGAATGAAACAGTTGTGGCCCTGAAAGACATCCTGGTCTCTTGGCAAAGGCCAGAGAACAGCATTAGCACACAGTGTGAGGTGTGTAATAATAGAGGTACGGATGGCCTGGGGTCCCAACTTCCCTAGGGAAAGAGGTGCAGTGGGACAGTAGAAAGGGAATTTTTCAGGAGATTTATTTCAGAATCTGATCCTTGAAGGAGTAGTAGGGGTTTACCATTGGAAAAAATGGAAGAGAGAATTCTAGGCAGAGTAGAGCAGTCTTGGCAGAAGCACAGAGCCATGCTCAGTGTTGGCGAACTGCAGAAAATGCATTATGACTTGGATATGGTGTTGTGGGAAAATAGGCAGGAGTCAGATCATGAAAACTCACTGCCAGTAAGTCGATTCCAACCCTCTTTGACAGAGTAAACTGCCCTGTTGGGCTTCTGAGACTGTGACTTCCTATGGGAATAGGAAACCTCATCTTTCTCCCGTGGAGTAGCTGGTTGTTTTGAACTGCTGACCTTGTGGTTAGCAGCCCACTGTACAACCTCTACCCCACCAGGATTCCTCTGAGATCATGAAGGAGGAGTCACATGAAGTTTGGGATGGGGGAGAATCATGGGAGTTAAGGCAAAGGGAGGAGGACTAGGCTTCTGGAGGAAGGCCCTTCTGATTTAGACAGAGTGGGCTTGAGGTTTCTGCAGTTCATCTGATAGATGTCCAGTAAGTAGAAGGGGAGGGGGTGGGTGAGACCACGACGAGAAGGCTGAGGACAGAGCCGTCCGGAGCAAGTGCAGAAAAGAGCCCATAAAGAAGACTGAAAGTGGGCAGGTGCTTTCAATTTTTTGTGCCTTAATTTAGACCAGAAAGGACTTGAGGACAGAGATGGAGGCTCAGCACAGTGATATAATGGGAGCTGAGGGTGCGGAATGTGGTCAGGTGCCACCCAGAGTAGAGTACAACAAGGACTCAGAAGTACTCAATGGATTTGGCGATGAAAGGGGCGGGGGAGAAGTAACTTGCTGAGGAAAAAGGAGGGTCCCGATCTGATTTCAGTGGTTGGAGTGGAGGCGGCAATTGCTGCTTGCTGTTCAGAGGAGGGTGGCTCGAAGAGGAGAGAGCAATGCTGAGAGATGGTAGCATGTAGCATGTTGCATTGAGAGAGGAACTTTTTTTATAATCATTTTATTGGGGGCTCATATAACTCTTATCACAATCCATGCATCCATCCAGTGTGTCAGGCACATTGTGCATTTGTTGCCCTCATTCTCAAAACATTTGTTTTCTACTTGAGCCCTTGGTATCAGCTCCTCATTTCCCCCTCTCCCTCCCCACCCCTCCCTCTCTCATGAACCCATGATAATTTATAAATTATTATTATTTTGTCATGTCTTATACTGTCCAGTGTCTCTCTTCACCCACTTTTCTGTTGTCTGTCCCCCAGGGAGGAGGTTATATGTAGGGCTTTGTAATCGGTTCCCCCTTTCTACCCTCCCTTCCCTTCACCCTCTCGGTATTGCCACACTCACCATGGGTCCTGTGAGGTTCATCTGTCTGGATTCCCTGTGTTTCCAGTTCCTATCTGTACCAGTGTACATCCTTGGGCTAGCTGGATTTGTAAGGTAGAATTAGGATTCATGATAGTGGGGGTGAGGGGAGAGGAAGCATTTAAGAACTAGAGGAAAGTTGTATGTTTCATCGTTGCTCTGCACCCTGACTGGCCTGTCTCCTCCCTGCGACCCGTCTGTAAGGGGGATGTCCAGTTGTCTACAGATGGGCTTTGGGTCCCCACTCTGCACTGCCCCTCAATTCTCAATGATATAATTTTTTTTTTTTTTTTGATACCTAATAACTGATCCCTTCGACACCTCATGCTCACCCAGGCTGGTGTGCTTCTTCCATGCGGGTCTTGTTTCTTCTGAGCTAGATGGCCACTTATTTACCAAAGAGGAATTTTTTTTAACCGTCAAAATGATTTGCCATTATGTAGATAGTTTTACTATGGGAATCTAGCTCACCCCAACACACTGTTGTTAGAGAACTCATTTGGTTGATAATCAGAAATCCTAATCCTATTTCTGTGACTTCTGGCAAAGACAGATCCCTTGCAAAGAGCGAAAGTGTAAGACTACTCCCCTTCCCCATCTCAATGGTAAGAAATGGAATGAGAGACGGGACTTTCAAAAATGGAATAAATCAGAAGAGGAGGCCTTCAGGAACACTGTGGCTAGGCAGAAAGTGCCGTGTAACGCTCTCCTTGAGTTTTCTGCCCCACCCTGGCATGGTGGTGTTTGAGTTCCCATACCTTGGCTGTGTGTGTGTGCCTCTCACCCTCTCCCCATCCCCCCCTCACAGTACATTGTGAAGTGCCATGGCAACACCCTGCTGCCCCAGTTCCTGGGGATGTACCGAGTCAGCGTGGACAACGAAGACTGCTACCTGCTCGTCATGCGCAACATGTTTAGCCACCGCCTTCCTGTGCATAGGAAGTATGACCTCAAGGTCAGGGCTGGATCATTGGGGCCAGAGGGGAGGCTTCTGGTGACAGTTGGGAAACTTGAGAGCTTGTCTTGGGAATTGGGTCTCGGTCTTATAACCGCTTCTGCTGATTTGGTCTTTGGCTCTCTCCACAGGGGTCTCTAGTGTCCCGGGAAGCCAGCGATAAGGAAAAGGTGATTCTCATTTTAGGCAGTGGGGTGAGGGCTGGGGGACAGCAAGATTTTCTTAGGATGAAGACACTCTTCTCCATCAAGGGTTAGGAATCATCAGCAGTTAATTTTTCTCTTAAACTGTTGGAGGAAAAGGAAGAATTGTTAGAGGTGGGCAAAGGGAACAGCTGTTTTGTCATGGGCATGCGTTACCCCATATGGAACGTTTGGGGGTGGGTGAGGATGCCAGAATTTAAGAACTCTCATTCTGGACTCTTCTTTTTCAAGTCGCTGATTTTGCTTAAGAAGAACGAGAAGTCAGCATGGGGATCTTCACTGGAAACCCTCAACAGAGAGTAGTGGGTTGTGACCCAGGTAGAGCTGCAGTGCCTGATGGGTCTGGGAAACCGTTGGCGGTAACGGACGCTAGGGTGCCTCGAATCGTGGAGCCAAGGCGAGAGTAGTAAGGTCTCTCCTAGTGGCCGCTGAGTTGGAGAGCCCACCCCTGGATGAGGAGGCAGGGTTCTCTGAGACCTTAAAAAAGGGGTATGTATATGCTAAGGCATCCTTTTACCTATTCTTAGGTTAAAGAGTTGCCCACCCTTAAGGATATGGACTTTCTCAACAAGAACCAGAAAGTTTATATTGGTGAAGAAGAGAAGAAAGTATTTCTGGAGAAGCTCAAGAGAGATGTGGAGGTGATGACTGGGGTGTTCTGGGAATGTCTCTCTGCCCTTTTTTTTTCTCCCTGCCCCAAAAGGCAGATGTCTTTCCCATGTGCATTATAAGGGAGTGTGTCCCCTCTCCTTTATTCTTCAGAACCTCTGTGTGAGGGGAGTTGACTGTGAGACATAAAACCCCCCAAGGCTAGCCTGTGGAAGGGGGAGGGTGGGGATGAGCTAAAAGGATGATCTTCCAGGGCCTTTAGGCACTAAAGGGTGACGGGACACTCAAACCTCAATAATCATCCCTTCCCTGGGAAAACCCCAAAATCAGATTCACTGCCATCGTCACTTCTGATTCATACCCTACCTTTCCAGGGTAGGGTAGTGGGTTTCCCAGCCTGTAACTCTTTACAGGGGCAGAAAGCCTCATCTTCCACCTGCCGACCTTGCGGTGAGCAGCCCCACGCATCCCCACAACACCACCGCGGCTCAAATGTCAAGGGTAGAAGTGCAAGGGTGGTACCTGGGAATGGAAAGGGAAGTGTGGGTGTCTGATGGTCAGTGGGTCTCAGTTCCTAGTACAGCTAAAGATCATGGACTACAGCCTTCTGCTGGGCATCCACGACATCATCCGGGGCTCTGAGCCAGAAGAAGAGGGGCCTGCCCGGGAGGAAGAGGCAGAGGGGGAGGGAGACTGTGGCCTGACTGGACCTGCTGCTGTGGTGGGCTCCTATGGCACCTCCCCGGAGGGCATCGGCGGCTACATCCATTCCCATCGGCCTTTGGGCCCTGGAGAGTTTGAGTCCTTCATCGATGTCTACGCCATCCGGAGTGCTGAGGGTGAGACACCCTGGAAACTCTAGGGGTGGGGAGGGTTGTCCCATGTGAGTCAACCTCGGTTCCTGGGCCAAGGAAATCCGCACCATCTCTGCTCTTCATTGTTGGTCTTCCTTGCCAGGGGCCCCCCAGAAGGAGGTGTATTTCATGGGTCTCATTGACATCCTGACACAATATGACGCTAAGAAGAAAGCAGCTCATGCAGCCAAGACGGTCAAGCATGGGGTGAGGGTTTCCCCCAGAGCCTTGCCTCTCCCGCACCATTCTTTAAGGAGAGAGAGAGCAGGGGGCGGGGGCTGGGAGGGGGGAGCAGGCGGTGGGATGGCCAGCCACATTGTTCCCTCCCTCCTCTCACAGGCTGGAGCAGAGATCTCTACTGTCCATCCTGAGCAGTACGCTAAGCGATTCCTGGATTTTATTACCAACATTTTTGCCTAAGAGGCTGCCTGACTCCACAGTGACTGCTGCTTGCTGTTCAGGGTGGCGAGGTTCTGAGAGGCTTGGAGGAACGGGGGATATTTTGACCAACACATCTTTGCTTCCTCCTGTGCGCAATTCAGGCTGCGGGCGCCTTCCATCCAAATAACCCATTTCGTTGCATTGGCTCTTCCTGGCCATCAGAAATACATTGTCCTTTCCTTCCCTATTGCCCTCCCCGGACAAGTCTGTTTGCTTCATTAGGGTGTCATTGTTGACTCTCCCAAGTGCCTTGATCTTTGTAAAAAGTCCTATTGTTTCTATAAAAGAAAAAGAGCTCGGGGGTGGGGTGGGGGGGTTGTTTGCGATCTTCAGAACCTGATTGGATGGATGGACCTGGTTCAAGCAATTACTCTGGATGCACTTTGCTGTGCGGAATGAACTAAAGTGTATGAATTTTACTGAGAACTTTATAGAGCTTACTGTGTCATGCTTCAATCCCAGAAGGCCTTGGGATGGAGAGCATTAAAGATACAAATGTGGGTGCAGGCATGAAATCGGCCAGTCTTGAGCACAGAGGTGGTGTAGAGTGGTCAGCGTGCTGCCTGCCCCTGGAGGTGTGGGACCGAAGACAACTCTCAGGATTATGCCAGGATCTGGAGAGAATCCGCACCCAGGATTGACCACCCGCCCATTTCTTCCCGCCAGCAGCTCCCTTCCACCCTCCCCACCTGTACTCCCTCCCGGGTGCAGGGGCCCAGAGATGGCTCACATGTTGGAAGCCTCAGGCAAAGTGTTTGACTGTTGCTGCTCGTCAGGACAGCCTCACATCTCTTCTGGAGGCCTTCAGTGGGCCTGTGGCCAGTTTGAGAGATGGGTGAAGGCGTGAGGGTATGAGTTTCATTCCCTTAGTAAGTTTTTCTCCTTCCTTTTTAGCTGTCCTTGTGGTTTATTCCCAGATGAAGGGAATTTCCCCACCTGGGCCAGTCCTGGCCATTTTGAGAAGATGGTGGGTGGTCTGTAGTGTGGGGCTCTCCCCTGCGCCCTGGAGGTGTGTGCCAAACACACTGTCCTTCCTCAGCCCTCACTGATCCGTTTCCCAGCTAGGTTTGTCATCGTTTTGTTCTCTCCTGTCTTGCACTGCTACTGTGTCTCCCAAGGGGACAGATGGCCTTCTTGATCATCTTCACC